TGCGGTTTTGTTGCCTGCGTGGCGTGTTAGCCGATACCGGCGGCTGGTACGTCTGCATCGCGGAGGGGTCGGTGTAAAGCCACGCTGAGCGACGCGGGTTGGTGCGCCGGGGACGGCGAGCCGCAAGCGGAGCCGTTAGCCGTGGCACGTCTGGATCAAACCCACCTGGGCGAGGTTGCCGTTTCACTGAATCTACTTCTATAATTCACACTGATTTCCAGGAGAAACGTCTCTGCTTTTATGATTTGTCTCTATCAGGCAGAAACAGGCCGTGGCGTTTGCAGTGTTTGGAGGGATTATTTGTTCACTTAGACTTCCCTGTTCTCTTAGCTGTGTTATAACCATTTGTGGTTAGTTTCTAGGTTAGAGAAACTGACTGTTACACGCTGTAACAGCAGGAAAGTTAGGCGGCAGTTGTCACCCTCCCCCCACCCATTTCAGCTCAACGGGACCAGTAGCTTGTCCCTGGCAGGACATCCAGGTACCCAGGCCACAAGCCTAGAAAAGTTTGAATAGCTGAGCAGCAGTTATAAAATGCAGCTGTTAAAGGAGCGCTAGAGACCAAATGAAAGTGTCACTCCAAAAAGACCTACTATAATCGGTAACATCCTGGTACACGTGGAACTTGGTTTTTCATGCCTATACGTGACAATTGTCAACCTCATTATAAAAGCAGAGCATCTAACAATCCCAGCCTCGCACCGTACCCTTGTCACCACCCTCCTGTCAGCCAAGTATGGGGTCTTCTGTTGACGAGACACTAGCGCAGTGGTGTTTTTGGAGCGTGCGCCTTCGTCGTGTGCTCAGGGTTTTACAGCCGCGAAGTGTCTACTTGGGCATCGGTATAGGTGGTTGTCGTCACCTTCGTGCTGCCAGCTCTTCTGGTGCTGCCAGACACATATTTCCTTTCATATCTCATTCCTACCAATCTTAATATCTCTCAGAGATGTGATGCACCAGCTCACTGACAGCTTTGAGAAATACAAGACTCTCTCCACCCACCACATCTGGATTCATATCTGTAAATTTGTAGGAGCTGGGACTGCAGTCTTCCGTGTGCACTGAACAACACAGTACAGGAGAGCCTTCCCGCCTAATAGGAGTATGGTAGAGCAGTCAGACTACTGCAGCATAAATAGTGAAGAAGGCAGTATTGTTTAGATGCAGACATTGATTTTTTCCAATGATTTAAAGTAGAGCAGCTTTCATCAGGAAACTCAAAAGTCCTTCCCTTAAGCCTAGCAATTCCCAACGTGTCGGTCAGCCAAACTCCGGGGACGAGGGTCAGTTTCGGAACGGTTAAGACTTAATGTCGCCTTGGGGGCAGAAGGGAAAATAGCTTGTATGTGGGCCTGAGAAGTTAGTGTAGCTGAAACCCCAACAGTCCAAAGAAAATATAAGTGGGTGCTGTTGTTACTAGTGGACTCATAAAAACGCTAGCAAACACAGCTGTTTTGATATACCCTGAAGACTCTCCGTAGCTAGCATCCTTCTCTTCTTCATGTGTTATCCAGTGCACCTCTGGGCCCCATAAGCAGGGGACACTTCTGCATCCCACAATCTTTCTCCGGAACACTATGATGCTCTTAGTGATGGGGGGGGGGGTCTTCCTCCTTGAGGCTGGGTGTTTTAGGGGTTATTTTTAATATGGTTTCTTAACACGGTGTGCTTACATGCTCTTTCCTTTCACGGGCACCCAGCAGCACAGTTCGCTGGTCTCCTCAGTATCGCTAAGGAGAGATTTTTTTTTTGTTCCCCAGTGCCCAGGGTTGCATTCTGGCAGCGACCAGTCGCTGACCCTGGTTTTCTGTTGGCCTCTGGCATCACCCTGGCTCGGCACCACTCCCCTCTGCACGCTGGAGCTGGTCACAGGCAGCTGGGTCTGCATGCACTCACTAGCTAGTGTTACATCAGGCTATCTGCGAGCGGCTGTGTGAGTGTCACGGATGGCTGGGGAGCAGCTCCTTCTCATCCCCACTCGGCTCCCTTCTGGGGCAGTGCCTGGACATGACAGCCCGCTCAAGCACTCAGGTACTGACTGCACCAAAGATACAAGCGCTGGCATGGAAATAGGGAACTGCTTGTTGTACGGAAAGGTATGAAACTAATTCTGTTTCCCCAAATGGTTGGTAGCGGATAGGCTAGTTTTTTGTTTTGTTGTTGTTGGGTTTTTTTTCCCCCTATAAGCATACTTTAAGAATCTAAGTTAATGACCTGGACAATGGGGCGGAGTGTACCGTCAGCAGCTTTGCCAGTGATGCAAAACTGAGAGGAGCGGTTGATAAAATAGCCGGTTGCGCTTTCATTCAGTGGGACCTTGACAGGCTGGAGAAATGAGCTGAGAGCAATCTCATGATGTCCAACAAAGCGCTGAGTCCTGCCCCTGGGGAGGAACAGCCCCACGCACCAGTACAGGCTGGGGGGGCCGACCAGCTACAGAGCGGCTTTGCAGAGAAGGTCCTGGTGGACAAGCTGACCATGAGCCAGCAAGGCAACCTCATGACAAAGAAGGCCAAAGGTATCCCGGGCTGCATTAGGAGGAGCACTGCCAGCAGGTGCTCTTCTCAGCACTGGTGAGGCCACATCTGGAGCGCTGGGCTCCTCGCTATAGGGCCCTACTGGAGAGACTCCAGCAAAGAGCCACAAAGATGATAGGGGCTTGGAGCTCCTCTCATATGAGGAGAGGCTGAGAGAGCTGAGCTGTTCAGCCTGGAGAAGATATTGGAGATACTTAAAATCTGACTGGACATGGTCCTGAGTAACCTGCTCTAGCTGACCCTGCTCTGAGCAAGAGTTTGGACACGGCACTCTCCAGAGGTCTCTTCCAAACTCAGCAGTTGCTTCCATGGTTCTGCTCTGGGCAGGACCACCAAGGGCCTGCAGCATGCCTGGCAGGTAGTACTGCTACTTAGAGAAATGCACAAGAGGGTCGGGGGGTGGGAGGGGATATGCGCATGTGTGTTTTTTTCCCTAGTGACAGCCTTTCTTTCAGGTGAAGCGGACCAGGCGATGTGGAGGCCCAGCAGCAGCTAGATCTCAGTTTGCCTCTGGGCTCAGACTGCCTGAACAGTAAGTGGGGCTATTACCAGGGGCTAATGGCGCAGGGCAGCTGCAGCGAGCCCATGGCCTGCTGAGGCACCGTGTGGCAAGGCAGCCGGGCGCAAGAGAGACGCGAGGCCCTGGTCTGGGAACGCAGTCACTGAAGGGAGTGCTCCGGGAGACGTTGTCCACAACGATGGCTAGTGAGAAAGAAGAGTCCGTTTCTACTGGCCTATGCTGCAAAGGTGAGCTGGGGGAGCCCTGCCCTGCTCCTCTGCCACCGACCAGGGCAGGCGATGCACGTGCACGTGGACATAGGGTCGAACAGAAGGGGACGCATGCAGGCTAAGTAAGAAAAAAGAAAAAAGTGTTTGTTTTCTCCAGGAAGCAACTAACTTTCTTCTGCCTGACCTCCTACAGCAGTGACTGGCATGGGGGGGGGGGGGCCCTTCACTGGGAAGCCTGGGTAACTTGCTGCTTAGCAAGCTGCGGGAGGCAAGCACGCCGTGCGGAAAAATGCAGCAGGAGGACCATTGCTTCTCACAGGGACACAGGCCTGGGGATGGACAGCCATACGGCCTCTGGAGGTGCAAATCCAGCGCTTGCCCTGTTTGGGACCTGCACGCCCGTTCAAGCAGGCCTCAGAAGAAAGGAAGGAGCCTGCCGCGCTTGGCCCCGGCCATGGCTTAAATGACACCTACTCCCCAAAGTAGGATCGTACTCGGGGTTCGGCAGCTCTGGACCAGATACCTTGGCAGTGTGACAGAGACTGTGAGGAGGTGAGACACGCTTGGGAGGTCTCCTCTACCCTCCCTTTTCACAGAAAATAAATGGTAAGACAGATAATAAATGGACAGAAAAACACATGGCAGACAAAGAAGGGAAAAATCAGGAAACGGAGATCAAGTCAACACAGATCAGTGAGGCAGAGAAATGAGATGGTTTCCACTCCTTGTGCCGTGCGTCCATCAATTAATCACATGTTAACAAACTACACCTGTGGAATGGGGGGACTAAACAAATGAACATCAGTACAGAATGGGATACATCTTAACATTGAAACATGCTACAAAGTGGGGTGTTGCGGTGTGCGTTGGGGCGTTGTTGGGTTGCTTTGGGGCATTGTTGTTGCTGTTGGGGCTTGCGTTGGGGGGCGTTGGGGAGGCATTGGGGCGTTGTTGGGGCGTGGGGGCATTGGGGCTTGCGTTGGGGCGTTGGGGCGTGCGTTGG